ATGGACAGGAACACCGGCCGAAGAGACCCACTCCCTCGTCTCTCTCTCTCTCTCTCTCTCTCTCTCTTCCTTTCTTTCTTCAACAACCTGTTGCCTTCGTTTTCGACCGACAAAACGTCCTAAAAGGCAATCGAACGAAGCCAAAGGCCAGCCAATGACTTCGAACGATTCCTTCTCTTTTTTCTTCCTTTCCTCCATATTTTCAATGTATTAAAAGTTGTCCCAAAAATTTCTTTTCATTCTTCTCACAAATCCCACAAATCCCTTCTATCCTTTTTTTTTTTTTGCAAAATTCGTTTCATCTTCGTCTTCCATTATTCCACTTTCTCAAAATTTTCTTTGACTTTTGCGATTTTTCATTTCAAAAGAAAAAAAGAAAGGAAACTTTTCTTCGTATTATAAACAATAATAGAAGAAACGATAGCGAAACGAAAACAAAGAAAAATGTTGAATGATGTGAAAAAATTTTTCGCGATTGACGAATGACGAGTGAACGAAAGTTGTTCCTCCCGTTGTTCCCGTGGGGCAAAACTTTAACCCTAGGACCTAGGACGAGAAGAGAGAAATGACGGCCATCAAGGAAATACCATAAAACAGGCGAGAACGTAGCATTTACGATAATATTTCGATTGCCATTATCGCGTCAGAGGAACGCGAGTATTACGGGATTCGTGGGGGCTTGATGTCGCGGAAGAATGCAATCGTGCCGAGTTCACGTAATCTACTCGGCCTGTACTGTTAATTATGCGACCACGTTACATTGTGCACGACTCGCGATCGCTACGCGGTTGCTTGATATTGATTAATTGATCATCCGGCGCTGTGTAGTCGTAGACCGGATGATTTTTATTTTTTGCCTCATTAATCATTTTATTTGTTCAAACTTTTTTTAGAACAAGTTTTACAATCCTCTACAATCCTTCACCTTTTCCAAATTATTAAAGCGTTTGGGAAGACTTTACCTCTAATCTAAATATAGAAATATTATTTTTATTTTAGAAAGATACGAGGATATCTAAGCCTGGCGAGTGGAGTAAAATTTATTTTCGCGCGATTTATTTCGATCTCTGGCAGAGTCGTATTTCAAACGGAAAAGGAAAAGAAAAAGAAAAAAGAGAGAGTTAAATCGAGAACTCTAATAACGAAAACCACTCTTCTATTCGATTCTCATCTCGCGCAAGCAAAATGATCTATAAATTTTCAGATATTTATTGGAGAAATATTATCATCAAGCTTTTACCAAGTTGTACACCATTCCAACTTATATATTCGATTTTTCTTTTCCCGCGATAACCATTTACGTCCACGTTAAATCAATCCAACCCCTATCTAAATTAATCTTCCTCGAGGGAGAGGGATACGCGATACGCGCACAATATCAAAGTATCAAACTCTCCAAGTTTCTCGCCAAGTTTCTCGTGATGAATTTCTGACACCCGAGGCTATCTTTATTGGATACCTCCCTTTAATATCGCAATCAATTTCGAGCCGCACAAAGTGCCTTTTATTGCTCACCTCTAACACCGTCGTAAACAGCCGCGAGAAATATTTTTATTACGTGCATCCGACTTTTTTTCCTTTAATAAACGCGCGCGATACATCCGCGCATGCGCCGCTGCGCGCGCACGCGTCACGTCCCGGCTGCAACCCGATCAACAGCGGATAATAAAGAGTAGGAGATTTTTCGTATAGTACGAGGCGGTACGAGATTCCACGATAAAAATCCCATTAACCATTATTTTTAATTATTTTTAATCGCAAGGACGATCGAGTCGGGAGATAATTGGCCGAGATGCGATCTATTCGGTCGAGTAATTCGTAATCAGATATCGGTCGTGAGATAGGCGCGGAATGCGCGGTTGTGACCCAACCCGATCGCTTAGAGTGAACCGATCCGAGGAATCTCTGTTGGATATTTTTCTTTTCTTTTTTTTTTTTTTCGTTTCTTTTCGATTTTTTTCCCTCCCTCTCATCAATTAACGACAAGATCGCCTCATCGATCTACGCTATCGATCGCCATTTGTACGTGTCAATATACGCCTTGCCGTTTCCTACTCGTGCATAAACATCCGACACCGAGAATTGTCGGTGATTGTGCGAGTTGATGGAAACTATAAAGCTTAAGTGTAAAATTGTAGCGCTTATGTTTCCAAAAGATCGAACGTTTGTTTTTGAAATGTGAAGTTGTAGTTGTAGCGTAAAATAATAAAAATAACAATATCTGGAAAATTAATAAAAAAAAAAATAAAATGAGAGAGAATGACAAAGTTGTTTTTCTTCAAAGAAGAAAAATAGAAGAGTTGTTTTTTTTTTTTTAAGAAAGAAAAACGTTAGAGACGATAGTTATATAATTATAATAGATATTTCATGAAGTGACTAATCAAGGTCAGAAGTTCTTGAAGTTTCACTTCAGATACGAATATATATTATTTCTACGAGCAATGTTTAACGTGACGATGCTTTCTAAGAATAGAATCCTTCGTGATCGATTCCATCTGTTTTCTTTCACGATCGATGTGGTAGTAATTATAGGAAAAGGATTTAATGGAAATCTTGACATTTGTACAATTATTGAGGCAATCAATTTATCGTTCAAATACGTTTCAGAAGTGACAACATATGTTCCTATCATTATTTTCGATTATTTTATAATAATTGTTAAGTGCGAGTATAATTTTTAATATTGCAATAAAATTTGTAAATAAATAAATAAATAAATAAATAAAATTCGTGGAATTTTAAAAAAGTGAATTGTGTACAAACACAGTATTTCCACTTAAAAATAAGAAATCAAGATTATATCGTTTCTTAATTATATAATGCTCTTATCGAGATATCCTTGTTTTAAAATCTTTCTAAATAAAGTAAAATATCGTATATAGAATGACGAATATTTGCCGACAACCGTTTTATTTATATATCAGGCACACGATAACAATATTCGGCAAGCGATAATTTACGTAAATACTGGTTATTGTATAACATCAATTCACAAATAAAATAATTTTTAAAATGATGTAATTCTGAATAAATTCAGAAAGAGAAATGACTCGAGCGAGAAATCTTCGAGTCGTACGAACACACCATCCCTCTCTCTTTTTCTCCCTTTAACCCCCAACCACAACGTTCACGCAACAATTAAAATCGCAGGTTCTCGTAGAAGTAACCTTTCTCAAGCTTTCTCTCCTCGAACGGAAAAGCTAACGCTCGAGGAAACACGAACGTGGAGGAGGAAGAGGTGGAGGAACAGAGGAGTAATAGAGAAGCGGGCCCGATATGGTCATGCTCTCTCGATGCAAATGAGAGAACCGAGAAGAGCGTTGCTTCAGAGGTAGGCGAATGAAAGCTCGGGCAATTAAATTCTCATTGGAAACCAGACACGTGTTACCGCGTGTCTGACGCGGTGGTCATGGGTGATCGCGACCTCGAGATCGACGATATCGTGCATTACGCGACAAATCGACGGCCCTGCTTCATGCCACGTTAACGAGAGATTCATCGGTTACACTATTTCTATCACACACACACACACACACACACATATATATATAAAATCTCCTAGATTTGGATTATCTCGAATTCGTCTTCCAACTTCATCCGGCAGACATATTTCAATCTTCAACTTCGACTTCGACTTTCTAAAAATCCCTTCGATAATTCCAAACTTTCTCTAAATTCCATTGACCCATTTACCGAAGGTGTGTTTCGAATGCCGATGAATTCTACTCTTCTCCTAAATTCTCTTAAAAAAAAAACTTCGTCAATCTTATCTACATTTTATTGAATATTAATGATTCTACCTTTCTAAAAAAATCTCGTCATTTTTTCTTTTTTTTTCTTCTCTTTTACATCAAACTCACCTCGAATCCGAAACTCTCGACGAAACTCTTCTTTCCAAACGCCTTCGAACACGTTCGAACCGGCCTCGACAGCCCACCTTCCACCTTCTTATGGACGAACCCACCACTTCCCCCCTCCTCCTCCCCTTCAATTCCCCCGACAATCCCATTCCATCATTCCGCTCCTCCTCGTCGAAACGAACGTCGCCCCTTAACGGCACCCGTCCATCGTTGCCACGCTAAACGAAATAATTACCAGCGTCGCGGGTATCGACGGGGCACCACCACCATTTCGCGTATCACGACCGCGTGTCGTTTAAAGGAATTATCACGACGTCCGCCCGACGTGGACGATTAATCTTCGCCACGGTGCGAAGCAGGGCCTTTTCGTCGTGCGAGCTGCCTCTCTCGGGAGAGGAGCTCGCGGCAGCGCGGGAGGAGGCTGCCGATCGAGAGGAGGAGGAAGGTTTTCGCCTCGCTTATCTCGTCACGACGATCTGCCGACAGATACACCGCGCGCCTTGACACGTAACAATGCATGCATGAATTAATAGCGACCGCTGCCGTGCTCGTACTTCTCCTCGCTTACAGCCAGATTTACATCTTTATCGCGGGGGCTGGGAGGTGTCGTTCAAGCACCGCTCAAGTCGAACCCTCTCCCCCTTCCTTCTTCTTCCAACGAGCGAGCCGAGCGCCTCGATTCGCGCTCTTTGTCGTTTTGTTCCCCCTCTCTCCTCCCTTTTTTCTTCCACTCGCTCTCGCTTCCTTTTGTTTTTGTTTTTTTTCCCTCTTTCTTACTCTCTCTCTCTCGCTCTCCGTCTGTTTTACTTCGATGCTTCGCGGCGCACGGTTTTTCACGCGCCGCTTGTAACTCGAGCGGGGATTTATTGCGCTTGATCGAGCTCTGGGAGACTCGTGACGAGAACGCGAGAAGGACTTCCGAGAGGGAGATCGTTGCTTACCTTGTTGCGAGAGGACACAGAGGGCGCGTGTGTAGTTTTAAATACTGGACGATTGTTCGGTTGGTGACGGAGAAGGAGATGGATAGGATACGAAGAAATTGTGACGTCTTATTCCAATTCCTTCTCTAATTATTCTCGTCGTGTTAAAATATAAAAGTTGGATAATTATTCGTTGTTTAAGGATTGACGAGAATTTTCTGTAATCTAGCGATATAAATAAAAATTCTATTATTTCACTCTCGTTTTTCGTTCTGTGCAATGTGAAATTTTATTATTTAAATCTTCGATAGTACGATTTAATAATCGTTCGTTTCAAAAAAGGATCGATAAAAGAAATATTCTAATCAATAATTAACGTTTTATAAAATAAAGCTATCCTATTATTTCGCTTCTTCGTCCTTCCTTCTCTATTCCCTCGCGCAAAATAAATCAAGGTTCTCGAGACGACATACAACGTGAAGGTTTCTCTAATCTTGATCTCGCAATCGAATAAAAGTCTCCTTCTCTCTTTTTTCTATCCCATTATATTCCCATTTAACCATCACTCTGCCCTTCCAAGGTAATTCAAATTATTAATTCATGTAACATAATAATTGAATCAGCAATTAATTAAACAATACCGTGTTTATCTTATCGAGAATCGTAAGGCAGAAATCGATGCAACGATAGGGAAATTATTAAATAGAATTGATTAAATAGAATTGTGATTATTGAATATTATAAACGATGTTTCATTATATTGCGAGAATGATGGTGTAAAATGATCAATCTAATGATTCTATCTCCTTGATTATTTATTTTTGCAGTTAATAAATCATTTATAAATCAATTACGTTGATTTACAACTCTATTAAAGATGATAATAGATTTTTTTGCACGCTTTGATAAGAGAGATTTCGATTAAATGAATGCAAATGTGATGAATTTGAAAAATTTCAAGGATTTTTCACAAAACGTTTAAATGTAATTTTTCATTACTTCTTGCGCATACTTTTTTCCCTCGCTCTTGGCAACTAACAATGGCTATGGTATTTCTTGTTCTCTCATATCTTTTGAAGGTCGGTACAACTTTCTCAGAATCATTTCTCTGAACCCACTGTGAATCTTCACGGACTAAGATATTCCACGAGTTATTAGACGTAATTGCAATCTCGAGAATTCTTCCATGCGGAACAGAAACGGAGAGAAAAATGCCAGTAAGAAGGACGACGAGAAATTATCGTCAAACTTCTGTTTTGTGATTTTTTTCTTTTTTAAACCGCAAAATCGTTTTTTAACAATTTCTAATTTTCAAAATATTCGCAAAAAATTGAAACGAAATTTAATTTTAAAATTTTTACTAAATCAACAGCCATCCAGATCATCCAAATTTCATATTATTCCGCTGCTAATGCGAAAAACAACAAAAATTTTGAAACGAGAAAGTTCAAAGTATCCTACAAATTCGAGTGTGATATCACATTTGATATCACAAATTCGTAAGAGTTAATCCGTTTCTAAATAAGACTCGAGGCTATAGAATGCAACGCAGATATTAATGACATGTTAATGATAAAAATTAGTAATTGGCTCATGGATCGAACACGTCAAATTTTATAGAACGACTATATAAAAACTATATACGAATAGTAAGCCAACTGGATGAATTTTGAGCGAGTCCATTAACCAGATACCGATCACCCTGTCGCTATCTAATTACAACGTTAGCCACTGGCCACGAATTTCGCTTCATTGTATATTGAGGGATTTTTCCACTCTCTTATGATTTTTCATCGTTTTTAATTGTCAACCTGATTTCACGCTATTCTCTTATCTATTGATGGTAAAATATGGCTCGATATCCTATTGTTATTATTCTTCTGTTCTTTATTTCGATCAAGAGGGTAGAAGTGTGGATTTCTCTATTGGTGTGAAAGGAAAAAGAAAAATTTCGTCGAATTCGAAGAGATTGAGTTGAAAAGTAACGTAGAAAGTTCTGATTTGGAATTTTTTCGAGAAGAATAAGTTTCGAAAAATTAAATTATACCTTAAATTTTTCAAATTTGTGTTTCGAAGAAAAAAAATTGAAATTATTTTCTTTATCTTGGAAAATTTTTTTATATCCGTCGAAGTATCGTTAGGAAAATAACGATTATTACTCTCAAATTAGAAATATTGGAAGCTAATGCAACTCGAAAGGTTAAAGCTTTCATAAATTCTTCGTTTCTTTAGGCGTTCTGATTCTTCTGCCATTTCCCTATCCGATCGTAACCAAAGTGTGAGAATTCCTCGAGGTCTCTAAACGAGGTCATCATCGTACATGATGCGAAAAGCTACTCCGTTAAAATATATATTCTGTCAATTTTAATGCATATCTACCTTTCGAAGGAATCCCGGCAAACGATCAAACGCAGCCATATTTTTTTTTCGGAAATAGAATAGATAGGGTAGTAGTAGCCAGAAATTCTGCTTACCTGTAACAGATAGAAAAACAACAGATATATGATTGGAAAGAAGTAAGAATTTTTTGAATATACAATTTCATCGATCAATTTTCATGGAATAATTTTTAATTCGATAAAAAATTTCATACTTAATATACATGTGATTACGTTTCTTCTTAAAAAAAATTTCAAGTTTCAATTTAAAAATTTTTCAAAGTATAATTTCCACGATACTACAAGCATACATATATAAAATAATAGTTAGAACAAAGAGAAAAGAACAGCAAGCAATTGAACTTTCCACTTAGCTGAAATTTAAGAGTAAATCTTTTTACAAAACTACGTCGTAAAATGTCTGCGGAAAGAAATCCAGGAAACGCGCATTTTGCCAGTGCGTTTTACCAGAAATTATTTACAAAGTAACGATCAGTCCCGGTAATAACAATGAATTAACCGGAGATCAACGGTTTATAAAAACGAAGCCTCGTAAATCTTTGCTCACGATCGGCTTGTCGATTCTCCACTAAATAAAAGGAAAGGATGGAATAGAAAAGACGCCGAGGGAGGAGATTATTTGGGTATATAACTGCCTACGGTTTGACCTCGCTATTACACTATGCTTGTACAGATTCATTCAGGGAAGTTTTACGAGATCGTTGCTCATTGATCGTGCTCTCTCGAAAATAAGAATTCCACGTTATTACTTCAATATTGAGAATTGAATCGAGATGTTGATTACGCGTCCCACTCGTTATAGAAAAATTTAACAAGAAAGATTAAATTTGGAAGGAGCAAAAATTTAGAAATAATAGGAGAAATATTAATTAATCTTCGAAATTTTTTCCAATGAAATATAAAATGGCATAATGGCTTGCTCTGTAAATATTTCTCTACTATGCACGGAATGTTAATATATTCGTAGAAGGAGTGGGAGAAGAGGTGATAACTTTAGAGGATCTAGAACTAAAATGATCGCAAAAATTTATCGAGCGATTTGGAGAATGAAATGGAGATGTAAACTTCAATTGCTCGTAACTTGATGAACGAAATCTCAATCCATTAGACGAAGCTTTCCTCGTTTTGTTTGAATCGATCTCCATATTTAATCGAAAGACACGAAGAATGCAAAAATTATACTTAACGCGTTTCTTTTCTTCTTTTAAATTAAAAATATACGAGGAAAGACAGATAGAATGTTTGAGAAAGCATACATAGGCTATTCCTTCTTTTTCTTCTTTTTCCAAATTGAACTTCACCTTCTTTAATCTTCTTCTTTTCGTCAAACGTAAGAACATAAGCTCGGTATACAAAATAGCAAAAAAAAAAAAAAAAAAAAAATAAAAGACATAGGAATACTACAAGCATTTACTCACACCATTGTAAATTCAATTATTTAATAACAGTAAGCAGCAAATGGAACTACCTTGTAATGTGTTCGAAGAACGTGCTTCGCATACTAATTACCAAAGCTCCTCCAAAGATTTTGTGCTACAAGTGCACATGGTAACAGAGATTCATTCAGGAAATGCTGCCGATACTAATACGGAATGCTAATTAGATTCCGGGCGTTGATAGCCTCACTGCATGCCTGACTGCATGATATCTTTCTTTCCTTGTTCCATCTTCTCTCCCCCCATCCCTCTCCCCCCTTGTTTTAATTAACAAACTCCTTCAAGGCCCGTCGAGGAGTACAAAAACACCGTCAGGCGCGTTTGTACACCGTTCGACGCAATTTGACTTCGAACGGTTTACACGCGTCGTCCGTTTCGACGACGGCCGCGGCGAAGATTTATGGAGTAACGGGGCGTTTTAGTATCGAACTTGTGGTATAATCCCACCACAACCGGATTGCCGATAGAAAGTCGTCGATTCAAAAGGTTACAACCTTAGGCCTCACTCGGTCAAACGTGCGCCATATTATTCATGAGGCCTGTAATTGGCGACCGCGTGACCGTTTGCATAAATTATCCGCCGATAAATTGAATCGGGCGCGATACGCTTCTTTATCGGCCGAGGCGCGTTCGCGTCGGGGCGGAGTTATGTTATCGGGAAGGGTAATTGATCTTGAACCGACATGACTGGCGAATTAGGCGGCGCTCTTGTTCGCCTCGCCTTCGTTCAATTTTGTTCTTTGTTCCGCGGGATAGGACAGGGAAGTGCGTATTGCGTAAAGCGATACGTTGATTTATCGATCGAATTTAACCTCCCAACTGGAAAAACGGAATGGAGAAATAATGTAAGCAAATGATGTAATATGTAAATCGGGTGATTCGACGTATTTGGAAAATCCACGTATCAAATCCGGGATACAAATTCTCGAACGATTCAAATGGCTCGATCTTTTAAACAGTTTCGTTCAACGATTTTACATCCTTCGCCGAGTTCCAGTATCGAATAAGAGCACCGATCGAACGGGAACACGTAGGCAACAACAAGCCACGGATCGTTCGCGGCCCGGCACCATTCGTAGACACCCTAGCAGGCCACGAAACGCCGAGAACTCGACGCGATCCATTCCTCGAAACGATCCACCAGTTTCTAAACTTCTTCTTCCCGCGAGAGTCCGGGAATCGCACGGCAAAAATCGCCACGGTTTTATCACAACTCGTTACCAACACTCACGTATCCACTATGCGGTGGAAGGATTCATGGGCCAAACGTTGACACGAATGACGACTCGTACGATGGTCACGTGGGCAGGACACAATGCAGGGTGCGGCCTCACCTCTGACACGTCGGGGTCCCGACCTATTCCCGTGTATCCACGGGCCAAGGTGTAGCATTGTGCGAGGGGAGGGAGAGGAGGGGGGGGGTCTCGTCTCTCTCTCTCTCTCTCG